CACCATCTTGCGGGTGCGGGAGGTGTTACCTTCTGGAGTTCTCCTGTTGGAGGGTCGTGACGGCGTTGTTTGGAAGGATCATGTGCGCAATTGTGCGCCATGCCACCTCCCAAACGTAGATGGCACTATGGACCCAAGCTTAGCGATAGTACGTGCTAGCTTGAGGTGCATGCTGTGTGGATCGGCTGGTCAGGCGGCCCGTATGTTGGTGTGTGATAGGTGCTCTAAGGGATGGCACATGTCGTGCCTAACTCCGCCTATCGATGTTATTCCGGCTGGACGATGGGTTTGTCCTCGATGTACTTCATAGGGGTAGATGACTTGATCTTCACATGTTATGAATTGCAGATAGGCGACTAACGATGGGGCGACATAGCACCCGGCCTACTGGTTCGCGCACCCACGAAGGTGTATAGCATGTAGTTGGAGATGGGGCTACCTGGGAGTCAGAGGGACCTGACCGCCAGCTAGGGGGGCGAGTTGTGACATTTTAGTGTGTACTCTCTCGCACCTTATATGTGTGTATGTGTGTGCGTATGTGTATGTGAGTAGCATGTCAGCGATGTAGAGTGTATGGCGATATGTATTCGCACGACAGCTGTCATGTAGTTACGAGTCGGCTCACGAAGTTCAGACACTTACTATATTTAGCCGTAAAGTTAGGGTTCTGGTCACGAGGGGTATAGAGTCGGGGACGGCTCGAAGAACGTCAGTTCTTCGAGTCGAGCCTGGAAGCGTCAGGGAGCCTAGAGCGACTTCCCCTTTTGCGTCGACCTGGATTCTCCGAGTGTGGAGTGGGTTGGGCTTGACTCATGTTTGTGACGGTGACGGTTTGTTGCCAGTAGGGTAATTGACCGACGGGAATTCCAGTGGAAAATCTTTCGTTTATTTCAGTTGTGACATTTTAGTGTGTACTCTCTCGCACCTTATATGTGTGTATGTGTGTGCGTATGTGTATGTGAGTAGCATGTCAGCGATGTAGAGTGTATGGCGATATGTATTCGCACGACAATGTTGATTTACTAATTTACTCAAAAAATGAATATTTTATCTTTTCAAACAACAAATTTTATCAACAAATATTGTTTGAAGTACCTTAAATATATCAATTATTCCAAATACTAACATATTTTTGTGATGAAATAATGACATAAATTTTTTGAAGTGATGTAAAAACTGTTAATATATACTTTCATCAAGATATATACATATATAGTATAAATTTTTACTAATTTACTAAGAAAAAATCTCAAAAGGTAATTCTTGTTGACAATTCTTTTAAATTTTTTTCATATCTTTATCATAAGTTTGAGTCACATATGTCATTGCAAACACATATAAATAATAAAAAACAATTGATATCAATTAATTATAAAAAACAAGTATTAGGGCATTTTCAGAAATTTGTCATTTCAGTAAACATAAAAAATAGTAGTCTTGTGCTCATGTCATATTTGTATGCATGCTCTCCAACTTTAGTACTTGCATAGATTGACTATGATGGTATCAAAAGCATACAGATAATTTTCTGAAATTTCATCAATTTTTATAAGAATTTCAAGTGAAAAAAAACGTAGTTAGATCAAATAAACAAATAATTGTGTAAACAAAAAGTGTAATAAAACGGAAATTTGCAATGATGAATTATATGAGTTGATTATTACCAAAGAAAATTATTAGTTTTAAAACTTATGATGAAGTTTTATCAAAGAACTAATGAAACTCATTTCTTATATTTTTTGAGTCAGATTGACTCAAAAAATATCTCAATTGGTTTATGTATAAAACTTGTGATTTAACGACAAAGTCTAATGAAGTATGAAATATGCATGTATAGTAAGGGATAGAAGTTTTAATAAAAATAAAATGTATATGAGTTGAAATAATTTTGACTCACATAGAATGAAACATTTTCTTACAAGCAAAATTCATAAAAAAATTAGATTTGTAGGGTTCTGTCAACAACATAAAATTATAGGTATCGAAGAAAATTTATTATTATAAAAATAAATTAAATAATATAAAAAATGTGAACTTAACATTACAAAAGTATTTAAAAAGTTGACCAGTTTTAAAAATTTGAATAAAATAAAATAAAAATAATAATTTAAGTCTAACATTACAAGACATATTTGATAAGTTTGCAAATATTACAATTTTTAAAAAACAAATCTATTGAAAAATGTAAACATGTTTGTGTCTACAAATATTGTATATTGATTGAAAGTGTTCTAAAAATTTAATATATACTGATTTGAATCAAAGGAGTCAAAATTTGACTAATTGTTCTACAAATTTTATTTAGTTCTATGTCATGATGTAAAATTAATTAGATTTGTCTAGTTTTTTTAAAAAATTGCGTTTGTTGAAAAGAATATTTGTTCACAATTTTGCTATTAGTTTTGTTTGTGTGATAAGTATTCAATTTGTTAAATTACATATATAATCTCAATTTTTATCATGACATTATAGTTATTTGATTCAAAGTACATTTTTTTAATTATTTACAAAGTAACATTGCATATACAATTTTCTTCTTATCTCTTCAAATATTGTTTTCATCTCATGTATCATGCATGAATTGTAGCAAAGTTAACATTTTTATGATAAAAAAGTACGAGAGTACTACTTTAGTGCGTGTTTTTATCTTGCATAGACAAATATAATTCACTTGTAGAATGAATATTGAGTACTTTACCGCTGAATGAGCATGATTTAGATTGGTATAAAAATTGAACATAATCATAAATTTTGGATAAAATTTTGAAAAATATGGATTTTTTAGCTATGGACATATTTTCATCTACTAAAGCTAATGAAGCTTACATTTTTTCCGTAAGTGATTAAAATATCAAGTTTTTGGTGATGAATTTACATTCAAATTGCAAGTATATATATATATATATATATATATATATTTCTAAAGTTTGCTTTAGAGGCATGTTAAATTAATTTTATTATAATGAATAATTTAATTATGATATAAATTATATTTTTTTTCAATTTGTGATTATTTGCTTACAAATCATATTACAAATAATTTTTTTCTTGCAATTTTATTCATATTCAATTATTTAATTTTCAAACGACTGTAAATTCACTTGCATAAAAAAATATTTTAAAAAATTATATATGAAGAAAATACTGATATGTAACATATTTAATCATATATATTAATTTATTTATTTTAAAAAAGTTTACATAAAATATTAAAATTATTTTTATAAAATACAAATACTAGAATTTGGAATTTTTTTTTGATAACTTTGTTGCAAAAAATAGATTAATCTGATTACATTTTGAAATCTACTTCTTTAATTTAGAAAATAACCATGTTTTAAAAATTAAATTTTCTATATATTTAGTCATTATAATTGAATGATATTAGTTGATGATAATTGAAGTATAGAAATTTAATTATTTAAACATATTATCATTAAATTTTTATTGTTTTAAAATTTTTGCCACATAATTTATGTAAATTTCTTTAACATAATTTTGCTATTTCATTATTAGATTTAATATGTATTTTAAATTTAAAAAATGTTATATCATTTGAAAAAATATATAAAATTTCAATCATGCAAATATTTCAACAGATTTTGTTTAGACTGTTGATAATCATTTTATTTTTTTTGCTTCATAATGGTAATTCTAAACCTAGAAAATAACTTGATACACTTATTAAGTGATTTTTTATTACTTCAAGGCAATATAATTTTCTAATTTAATATAATTTTTTGAGTTTTTTGCGGTTAGATGTAATAAATGATTAGATGAAATATATATTCATCTACTCCACATAACATATGCATGACTTATACAATATGTTCATGGAATATAATTTTAGAGAGTGTGTAGTTATACCTCACACTAGACTATTTCTCCCACTTTTACTGTCCCGCTATATCTACCGTCTGGTCCTATCTTTGCATGGTATCGAACAATCATAGAGACATCTGGGATAAAATATAGTAGGGTGAAGGATGATTAGACTCATGTGAGGCATACTTGATTATTACTTCAAATTTGTATAAAGTGATCTTGTATATTATACTACAACTAAAAGTTCAACTAACAACTAACATACTTACATATTTACCCTCTTTCATAAAAAAACACTTCTGTATTCTTTCAAGCAGTATGTGAGTTTTATAGCTTATATTTCTATGCTTGAACTTATAATTATACAAAGGTTTTCATCGTTTCATTTTCTCACTCATTCATTTTATAAAATTGGAATAGACATCTTTTATATGTGTCATAATTACTATAAATTGATACATGTAAAATTTCAAATTGATATTTGTATTTTATTTTACAAAACGTCAGAAAAGTGTAATAATTTTCAATCCAAAAGAAAAGAAATTACTGATTTTTTCCTAGGAGAAGTAATGTAGAGTGGGTTCTAAATTCGAAGATTTTGATCACACTAGCGTAATTTTTTTTTCTTATATATATATATATATATATATATATATAATCAAGAAATATTTGAAATGGCTTTCCCACAATGATCTTTGGTTTTTTAGCTCCACATTTAATCAATGTTCGGTACATATCAGACCTATAAACATGATTAGATAAGCAGATCCATCTAGCATGAGGAAAGAGGAGCTTGCAGTTACATCGAAGCAAGAAAAATGAATTCATCTGAAGATAAACTTTACTTCCCCCGACCAATATCTTCTTCACTGCATGCATTTTGCAAGATCTAAGTGGCAACTTGGGTGTCATAAAATCATTTTGCTATGATGGATGTACATAAAATGCAATTAGGAGGTGCATAATGCAGTGTTAATGCTAATCTGATAATTGTGATATTCACATTGTCTCTCACAATAGAGATCACAACAGAGATCAGCTCCATATCTATTACAACTGTGAATATCCTGTTAATCATCCCCGTACTAACTACATTTCATCGACTTGGCCCCCGGTACCCTTCATCGACGATATTGGTCTACGACCGTTGCGCCTTTGAGATATGGCATGAGAAGATCTGTCACAAAGATTCTTCCTCATGGCATGGATCGGTTTGGTTGAACCCTGTATCTCTTGAGCATGTGTCGAGTCTCTTGCATCATTTAGGTGCAGTTGAAAGCAAAACTTTTCAATACGTCAAATGTTCAATCGAAGGTATTTGTCATGTTCATGGTTGTAGAGACGTGGTACATAAAATTATCGGATGTCTGCACGATGGGGGCAGAACATGCTTTCGTCACGGATGGATGTCGGTTTTTCCATGTTCTGGGTCATGAAATTGCCAAGAGGAGACGCTCGAAGGGAAGAAAGCGCGAGGCACTGAGCCGATCGCCAACGCTCACGTTGCTGTCGGAATCGAAACCCGACACTCCGTCCAGTCGTCTGTGCCCTCTCAGCAGCCAGGCACAGCGAAGGCAAGGTGCAGCGCGGCTCATTACAATTTGCAAATGTGACGAGAGAGTGTTGCTATCCGATGCAAGAATGGCCGCGCGACGACGGCGTGGATCGCCAGTTTGCGAGAAAATGGACCATTTGTAGACGAGGCCGAGGACATTAGTGGGACAGGTGCTTCATTGTGTGGAAATCAGGGCTGAGGTCGGAGGAGAACAAGTGGCAACAGCGACTGGAATAGCGCTATTGAGTGCAAGGGAGGAGTAGCATTCATGTCGGCAGGCAAGAGACTGAAGGTTTCATCTGCGGAGGAGGGCACAGCTTCTTGTTACAAGCCTGTGATTCTTGTGGACTTGGGCAATGGAGTGTGCGGACAGCTCCGAACTGACGGTTCTGACGATGCCATAGTGGAGGAGCGATGGCAGCAGTTCAAAGACGAGCTGCACAAGTCTGAGTTTTGGCACAAATACAAGGAAAGATCCGAGAGTCCGAGTTCGGGATTTGACAAGAAAGCGTACAGGGAAATCGTTGAGAAGGAGATTCAGAGAGCTTGGGATGAAAGTGGGAAGGTGAAATCGCTGCGCATTCCTGTCTGTGAGGGGTCCAAGGGTGTTAAGGACGTGAGTGCTGAATCTCAGGAAAAGGAGGTGGCGAAGAAGTCCTCTGATTCTGAGCCTGCTGCGGGGGAAAAAGCCCCTGCAATGGCTCCATCCGGACGAATGCGGAGATACTTGGTAACTGTTGAGTACGCAGGAACACGCTTTTTAGGATGGCAGAAGCAAAAACATCGTCCTGATCTTAGAACTGTTCAGGGAACCTTGGAGGTAATTCGTTGGGCCTTTTTGTCTCCTTAACCAACAGCCAGCTCCAAATTGTCTTACCTTAGATGCAAGCGTTCTCAGCCGTATGTGGCGAATGAATGAGCAGAATCTTGTATAAGACTTTTCTTTTTGTATTTTGACACTATTCTCATTTGTTGTGCTTGACTTAGCTCAACCAGAGCATTTTTTGTTGAGCTCGAATTACTAAAGACCTCATTAGCTTTCTTCTTATTTACTTATGATATCACCTTAATTTTGTTTTGTTTTCTTGGGTGTAGGATGCTTTCAACAAATTCATAGGGCAACCTGTTGTTTGTGGTGGTTCAAGCAGAACGGTAAGATGCACCGTCTCAGCTTCACAGATGTGACGAAGTCCCTCGAGTATTCTGTATTGCTCTTCATGCTCTCTCGGATCCCAACATGTCGAATTGAACAAGGAGTACCCAGCCTGAAGAATTTGCCTTGAAGTCATAAGTTATGATATTGTAAACCAAAAAGAATTCTCGTCGATCTCACAGGTTTGACGGAATGTCCGCAGGATACCGGAGTGCATGCTCTGGCTAATGTTTGCCACATCGACGCCGAGCGAGTGAGCAAGAGAAAGCCTGGTGAATATGTAATTTTTCGTTCCGTTCTGGTTGATCATTTTCTCATAGAGTTACACTTGAATAACGCTTAAGCCTGAATCAAATTCTACACGTTCTCATTTATTCCGGAAATCACTGCTTCATCTATTCATCCCACGCGAGCTCTTAATAATGTCCATACTGATGGATCTGATGGGATGTCAACAGCTGCCGCCACATGAACCCGACGTGGTGAAACGAGCCGTAAATCATTTCTTACTGGTAGGCGAGATCTGAACGAGTCTTTGCAATGAATTTTGTGAATACTTTTGCGGCTTCGTACTGTTGATAACTCGTAATCTCGAACTTTGCAGAAAGATGCCGGTGGAGACTTGATGGTGACAAACGTGCGATGTGTGCCACTCGACTTTCATGCTCGATTTCAAGCCAGGGAACGCACGTAGGTTCTTCGATATGCAGCAGATCAGGGCTCTTGGGTCTGCTGCTTTAAGACCTCAACTTGTGAGTTTTCATAGTATCAAATGTAGCTTTATGAGAAAAGTAGGTTCCACTCAAAAACTACTTGTTTGAAATTTACACGACAAATCAGTGCGTGGAAGAAAGAAAGCTCGTGTGCAGGTCTCAACTTAAGAAATGGTGTGTTCGTTTATGTAGGATAAATCCGTTATCATAAACTGTAAATTTCCCATACAAAAAAGAGCTTCAACAAAAGTACATATCGGTGAATGTCGTCATTTAAATATTATCGTTGTTATATCAAGAGCTTTTGACGAAAGTTGATGCTTCTTCAGCAGATATATGTCAACAATCAAATATTTCGTCAGAGGTTAATGATAGCTTGTGGCATGGGTTATGCAGGTACCATTATCGAATTGTTGCAGGAAATCCCTTCCCTTCAATATTTGAGCGGGATCGAGCTTGGAACGTTCCAGAGAGCCTGAACATCATTGCAATGCAGGTAATCTCCGCGGACTAAGTTTTTTGAGGTAGTAGAGAGTGCAATATATGCATCCTCATGGATCTCAACTCTAGACATACCATACCAATTATATCCGTTTCCACCTTGCTACTGGCTGTCCAGAATTACGAAGGAGAAGCCGAGTATATGTCGTGTCGAACTAGACCATATGATCTGGAGGAATGGACATCCACCACATCATGAACATAAATCGCTTTCATAACTGTGCACAACACGTTCTTATAATATGACTTCTCAGGAAGCGGCACAAGAGCTGATTGGGCACCATGATTTCACTTCGTTTCGCGGTACCGGATGCCAGGTGAGTTTTTTTTTCAACCATTTAGATATTCCTCCATTCAAGCATGTTTTCGTTCTGGAGACTAGAAAAGTTCGGAATGCATATTCCACATAAATAGAATGGATACGTAGAGCAGATACATACGTACTAGGATTTGGGTTTGTAATTGACATGCACTCAGGCAAGACTCGCTGGATTCCAACGTTCTGAAGATGCGGTTCAGAATTTGGTGAGACCATTGCTCTGATTTTTTATGTTAATGCATCTGGGTTACAGGCAAAGTCTCCGATGAAAACTCTCGACGAGCTTCACATATGCGAAATGCCGGCATGGCCGTGCTTTCCAGCTTTAGAAGAGCGCTTCCCTTATTCTCCTAAGAACAGAACCGAAGCGGAACTTGACCGGGAGGACTGTGACCAGAGCGAAGGAAGTAAATCACATCATAATGATAATTGTGTGGAGCTGAAATCTGCAAGGCCTCGTTGCTATGTCATAACAGCACGTGCTCGCTCTTTCCTTTACCATCAGGTTTGTCCAGGGATTACTTACAGCGATTTCTCTAGAAATTATTTGAACTTCAGGAAAAAACCTATGAGTCAGTCTCGGTGTTTTGATTACCGTATCACCACTGTTCAGTTTTGTACACGTCCTTTTACTGAGTTCTACTAACCTATCACCATAGCAGCACATATGAAACCTTTTTGCTGTGGAACCGACTTGTTAGCTAAAATATTCACGTACTTTCAGGTTCGGCTTCTCGTGGGAACTCTCAAAGCAGTTGGCTGCGGATTGTTGACTAAAGACGATGGTGAGTTTAACTTCTGGTTTTTTGCACGAATATGCTCACTTTTCGTCGCACCTTTCGTACAAGAAAGATTCAACTGTTAATTCTGGGTTTATTTTCCATTATGTTTGGCGCCAAGTGCATAACTACGGTCTTTCTTATCTGTTTCAAGTTTTATGATTCTGTGGCTGGATCAGTTTTGTAACGAAATGAGCCCCGTGTATCATTAATTTTCAGTAAAATGTAGGGTGCCTTTTCTGGACGCTAAACCCGAACTTTGGACTTCGTGTTTCAAGGCCCCTGACTGTTTTGAAATATATGAGGAATATCTTGAAACATCTTGTTTTTGTTTAGTCTTATACTGGCTAAAAACATGAATTACAAAATTAAGATTAACCACATAAATTTCCAACGTAGTTTCGGTATAGGTCAAAAAGAGAAAAAGATACTGAAAAACATAGCTAGGGGTGGATTTTATTAGCCCTTTGTAAAACCGGAGTCTTGGTCTTTGGTATCTAACATCGACATGAAGAACTTCATCTGTGCTTCTTCACCGACTATTTTCTGCAGCATTTTCGGATTTTTGCCCCGGATCGGTAGGAAGGCTGAATTTCTCTTTGTCGAATATATTGCCTCGTGTTAATTATTCCATTATTTTCATGTGCGCAGTGAGAAGGATCCTTAAGGCTCGATCCATCAAAGAAACGCCAGCAATGGCACCCGCATTTGGTCTCTATCTCGCAGACGTGAAATACGACTTCGAAAATCCTAAGACGAGGCAGACTTCTGGGAACGACGGGGATCCCACAGCTATGCTGAATGAGTCTCCCTAGGCGTTCTTGTTGAACCAGTTTGAGATGGTACGACTTACGGAGTTGTTTACAATTCGAGTATGATGACAAATCGCATATCTATCGTCATGCTATGCGAGTTAAAAGATCGACCTGATCATTAATTTGGAAACAGTAGGTAATGCAGGCCACCTTACAGTATATGTACTAGCATCACGAAGAATTCGACTGCAGCTGACTGTTCACAAAATTCTTGAACATTAAATTCCCAGTGGAATGTTCATCATCTATCAATTTTGGCACATTTTCCACGCCTCGTTCTCCACATTTCTACCATGCTTCATAGTTTCTGTAAGGCATGTAACTTAGGAAACTATGCTTTGATGCCAAAATCTCTATGAGACTCTCAAGAAGCACCATACGTAGTTTTCAAATGGACTCGAATCCATGCATGATGGTTCACCTTTTCAGATCTTAGCAATTCATTGAAGTTTTTCCTACTTACTGTAACTTAATGAACGAGAACCTTTCTTCAGATGCCAAGAATGTCGCCGAGGCCATTCCTGTGAGAAGTAATGAAAGACAACGCATCCTGCATGTTCAGTTCTTTCCAGCAACCACACGACACGTAAACCTAGAATGGAGCATCGAGGTACAACTGACATTAGGAGTATGCGTTTTGTGAGGAGATAGTATCAACAAAAGCACATATACTCGGCAGATGAATCACGAGGTAGCAACTTGAACTTAGGAAGATTTCCTGGGTTGTATGGTTTGGTACAGGACTATACCCGTGATGCTGGCGAGTGCGTGAACGGCTTTGATGTTTGGACATTCTGAAGGAAGACTGAAGTTTTGTATTTCAAGTTCAGTAATTCTCACGCCACCACGTTGGCGTTGGCGGAACTTGGTGTTCGAAGGAAAACTCTCGTTTGTGTACTCGGTCCTGTATTTACGGCAACAGAGTCGAACGTGTTCGTTATCTTCATTGAACACAGCTCGCTGGCTTATGGTGCGAATTTTACAATTTGAAAACTGCCAAGGGGTGGAACACAGAAGTAAAGTGGAACTCCATATTGACTGGTTTGGATAAGGCTATGGGACGCAAGAGTAACTTATAGAGATCTTTCTGCAACGACCCTTTCCTTGCTAGCTTTCAGTTGGTTCCTCTTGATTCAATTGGCTAGGTAAAGCAGCAAATGCTCGAGCAGATTGATCAATGATGGCGATTGTCTCGCTAGGGGTTATAATATGGTTTTGTTTATAGGGAAAAGGCAACGTTTTCCATGTGAGTAGAGAATGATGATATTGAGTACGCTATCCACACGAGGCAAATTCTTAAGAACTAATCATGCCTCTCATGCAAAGCGAGGTCGATATGGAACTCCATCTCTTATCAAGCAGAGACGTCCTCGGTGTATTTGGGTAAGATTTGAAACTATTTTGTCCATTTCGTTGAGAACATGATTCTCTTTCATTTGTGTCCAGTCACACCAAATCATTTGAAATTTGTGACGTCGAACAGATTGTGTCCGGTACAGGACTGTTGTGGCGAGAAAAGTGACCCAGGCACGGCAAACGAAGATTCTCTCACGTAATCTACTGTACTGCAGACGGCAACTTTGTGACGGAACTTACCATCAAGTCGATTTTAGTCTGCCATCGTTGGGCATCGAGGAGTCGAGAAGGGAAGATTCTCTTCTACAGGCCTTCTTAACGGCAGAGGTCATTCTTGAAAATAAACCCAAGCTAAGAAACATGCTCATTGTGCAAACAATCGCATACGTTGTTCTTCATATATTATGCCATAGATTCCAGATAAATCATTGCAAGCACGAAATTGGAGACGACGTCCTGGAGAAGCACTACGGCTCATGTATCCGAGATCATGGGCAAATTGTCACTCCAACCGCTTGAGCAAACGGCTGAGTTAATCCCACCTGAGATTTGGTTGAGTTTGGAAAATCCTTGTAGGAACTTTGAAAAGCAAAAGACATCAGAGACTAGTAGCCTAGTGCAGTGTGGAGAGCTGCGAGAAAGACGGAGCATGTGCTCGGTGATGAGTAGGGAGGGGAGACAGTACAGGCAGGAAATCCATGGGGGACCCACTGGTACGTCCCCCGACCAGTTGTTGCTGCCTGTTGCTCGACACCGGCGGGCCACCGATAAGCAGCATTTGAGTGTGTGGATCCCTGAATGGAGGAGAAAAATTGGGTGGCTAATCCCCAGTCCTCAGAGCTGACCTAAAATGCAATTTGAGTCGCCTGCGGCAGCAGCAGGAAAAGGGAAGGGGCCATGGTCTTGAAAACGACCCGCCCACACTCCCCGCCCAGGCTTTTGATCCCTCGAAGAATCGTTGATGCTGAGTTCAGACACAAGCTCAGTACAGAGTAGGGAGTGCGGTAGTGAACGATTTTGCAGGTAATTTAGATTAGATATTTCCGGGCGCTTGGCGCTTTGCGTCTGGAGTAGGGGCTGCTAACAATTGAAACCATGGAGAGCGACAATTTGGCTGCTCTGGCTATATTTGGCCTTTCATGATGAGAAAGGGCCCCCTGCTGCAGCTGCTACTTTGCCGAGGCAGGGATGCAGAGCAATGCGAGGACCGGCGAAGGAAGTGGTGACGTTCTTGCTCCCGTGGGCTTTTAGCCTACAGACACACAGACAGAGAGAGCTACAGACAGGCAGAGACATTCTGTGACCCTCGGTTGGTCGCTCCGGCTTGCTTGCATCGATCTCTCGAATGGCACCATAATCTTGTTTGAAAGCACAGTGTGGTTAGCGTCCGCTTTTGTTTTGCTGTGAGTTCTTAGAGATGGAGGCCGTGGCGGTGACCAGGACGCCGGTGCTGGAGTTGCCTCAACACAGCAGATGTGTTGCTGCGCTCCTCAGGTCACCTGTTTCGGCGGACTCGACTGCTCGGGTTTCGAGGTTGGGGTTTAGAAGTGCGCAAATTTGGAGTTCTGAATTCCACAGGTCGAGCTTGCGAAATGCCGTCCCGCGGCTCGAGCAGAAGAATTTCAACTCCACCGTCCACTCTTCTCATGCAGGTCACACTCGTCTCGTCTCTTCTCGCCCATACCAGTCCGTTCGCAGCTGCTGGGTCAACAATGTGCGCATTCTTCCGCCGGACCTGCATCGATGCGATTTTGAGGTTGTCAATAATTCCGTCTCTTTTGTGCCGCAGATGCTGGCGTCGTCACGCAGGAAAAGCCGAAGGAGGTTATATTTCCGCAGGGCGATTCATGGGCCGTCCACAAGTTTGGAGGTACCTGCGTGGGGAACACCGAAAGAATCAGCAATGTAGCTGGCATAATTGTGGATGATCCTTCACTCCGAAAGGCCGTTGTTGTCTCGGCTATGTCGAAGGTGACAGATATGATGTATGATGTGCTGGACAAGGCCCAGAGTCGAGACGATACTTACACCACCGCCTTAGACTTAATTGAAGAGAAACATCGGAGCACTGCTTCTGCTTTGTTGGGGGAAGGGGAGGATCTCAAGAAATTTCTGAAGAATCTTGAGGATGACATTCTCAATTTGAAGGCCATGTTGCGCGCCATCTACATTGGTAAGGCATTGAGGGACCTTATTATGCAAGTTTGAATTTCTGAGTTTCTGCTTATGGGAATTTTCAAACTCCGCATATGCTCGACGACTCTGCAACATGTATCAGTCTATTTTTCAACAGCTGTCTTGGAAGTTCCCATCTCTCGAAATTCTGTTGACCACATCCTGGGAACCGTGTGTCCTCTTTTAGAAATCTTCATTTGCGTTTAGCTGCAACTGACCTTACGAACGCCTTTCTGTGGGTCTGAAGCTGGACACGCCAACGAAAATTTTTCTGACTATGTTGCTGGACATGGAGAGTTATGGTCCGCTCAAATGCTGGCTGCTGCAGTGAGAAAGGTGATTATTATTGACTCAGATCACTGCACTTCATTATTAAAGGTTTTCGTGTGGAGAATTCGACAGTGAGTGCTCAGCAGTTCGACTTTATCGTTTGTTGTTGTAACCATATAATTTTTTCTAGTGTTGTGTTATGAAAATTAATATGATATCTGAGATATCTTGATGTCGTCTCTGCTCACGTCTTCTGTGAAGAAATGCAGATGCATAATATTAGTTTAGCCTGATTGTCATCTCGTCGGTGAGCTTGTGTCTTCTTAGTGATGAAATGTTTACTTGGGGGTGGTTTTGTTTGATGATCATTCGCGTCCAACGATGTTTTTGAATGCACGTTGTCAAATGCCTTTTTGTCCATAATTAACGAGTATATTTCTTCGTATCGCAGAAAGGACAATCTTGTGTGTGGATGGACGCCAGGAAAGTTCTTGTTGTAAAACCCACCAGCAGTAATCAGGTGGATCCAGACTTCGAAGCTTCTTTGGCGAAGCTTGTAGACTGGTACGCGGAAACCCCAGCAGATTGCATCATAGTCACTGGTTTTATTGCCAGCACCCCGGATGGCATTCCAACCACTCTAAAACGAGATGGAAGTGATTTCTCTGCTGCAATTATGGGTAATTTATTAAGAGCTGATCAGGTCACGATATGGACAGACGTTGATGGCGTTTACAGTGCTGATCCAAGGAAAGGTACGGACATGCAGCTCGTTATCAGAAGTATATTCAATAAACGAAATTTATTTACATCGTCTTGTTATTTACGTTTTGGTTTGCGTTAGTGTGATTAGAATTGAACGTGTTGAGTAACTGTGCGTGATCTTCGAAACTCCTCCAGTAGGAGCTGACAAAGCCCGGGTTCGTTTTTTGCAGTGAAGGATGCTGTAGTTTTGAGTCAACTCTCATACCAGGAGGCCTGGGAAATGGTAACCTTCGTGCTCAGATAGATTCACTGAGCGACTGTTCCTACTAGGAAGATATTCCAAGGCACTTGACGAATAGCTTCCTAAATTTCTTGATATGACTAGGAGTACTTCTGCCTTTCCTTAATGAAATACTTACCATCCCAACCGCTGTGGAGAAGTAATCATGTTCATATAGTTTTCCGTTTGTAGGGGCATTCTACGTAGGTGTGTTTTGTTATGTGCTAATAAATTTGTAATGCGGTTGCAGTCGTACTTTGGCGCAAATGTTTTGCACCCCAGGACCACAATACCTGTGATGAAGTACAACATACCCATCACCATACGAAATGTTTTCAACGTTTCTGCTCCTGGAACAAGGATATGGTGTTCTCCTTTAACAAGTGATACCTGCCCCTTTGAAGATGATGACGAGATTGATGGGGCAGATAAAGTGGTGAAGGGCTTCGCTACTATCGACCATATGGCCCTTGTCAATGTCGAAGGGTGTGAAACTCATCTCTCTAAATGTCATGCTTTTGATGTGGTCGAGGATGATGAATTTGCCCCTTTTAGCAACATTTTCTTTTGAGTTTTTCGTCTTCAACTGCTGGAAAACTCAACCCTGTTAGCTTTTTTAATCCTTCTCTTCGACTCCGGTTTACAGAACGGGAATGGCTGGTGTTCCCGGAACTGCAAGCGCCATCTTTGAAACCGTGAAGGATGTAGGCGCAAACGTCGTCATGATCTCCCAGGTATCCACTCCAAGAGGGGAGTCTATCTATATTGTTGTGTGTCAGTCACTTTGCGAATTAAGATCCAGGTAATGTGACTTTCTGTTGTTCATGAGATAGCGTAACTCATCTGTAATCTGGGAATCTGTGATTCAAACAGATTACTATTAACCGTAATGGACTCTAAGCCTTAGTCAAGAGCTGCACGGAAGTACAATTGAGGGTGCCAGATCAATTCTCCTTTTGATGCTATGTGGCCGACTTGGCATCAACGGGAGAGATGCCACCCCGACAAAAATTTGTCATTTCATTTGAAGCATTGGGTTTCATAGTTCAAAGTCCCTACAGGGAAGTCTAGTTGACAGATTGGTCTATCTCGCTTATGTCTTTACTGAAGCCACCATTTGTGTGCAGGCTAGTAGTGAACACTCTGTTTGCTTTGCTGTACCTGAGAAAGAAGTGGCTGCCGTAGCTGAGGCGTTGGAGCGAAGGTTCAAAACTGCTCTGAAGGCTGGTCGTCTGTCTAAAGTAAATCCACCAAACAACTTATCATCCTCAGGCTATTGATCGTTTCCTGCGTCTTGTGGATGAAAGTATTTTTCATATACATACTGGTCTTGCCTTCTCTTCTTTGTTGGTCTATCGCAAATTTCTCAAGTGTGGGTCGTGAAAGCAATGCTGGTTATCTTTTTGGGACTGAACGAGCAGATCTTACAATATAGGCTTGAACATCATTTTGAAAGATACTCTGAAGTGACTGACAGCAAGAACCTGCTTCGGATAACATCATCATGTGCTTCTTGTTAAAATGGCGTTACCTTGAAGAGGTCTATCGCACCTTGCACAACCGCTCGTCTTGATTCTCCATTTTCATCTTCGCGGTGGACTGTGGCCAGTGGCTGAGGGCAGCGGGTTTCGCAATTTTGACTGAGGGGCATAGTTTCATGTTCGTTTGTTTGCAACTTGAATGTTCTCTTGTAGGTGGAAGTGGTCAAGAGTTGTGCCATATTGGCTGCAGTTGGACAGAGAATGGCAAGCACTCCTGGAGTCAGTGCAACTTTGTTCAATGCCCTGGCTAAGGTAAGTCGATAAATGTAGAGGGTGAAGATTGGTACCATTTATGAATTTACGAAGTTAATATTTATGCGCACATATGTCAGCAAGTTCCTGCCTCGCACAGCTTTATCTAAGTGTCAGATCAAATCCAGGGTGTTCATAGTTTATTATTTCTTTGTTGAAGGATAGTAGTTGGAAGAGTTGTTCCTCAGGGCTTATTTCCTATCTGGAGGTGAAGTATCTATTTTGAAGGTCTAGCGCAAGAATACTGATTTTGATCGATATCTGTGCATGGAACTTATATACAGGCCAACATAAACGTCAGGGCAATTGCTCAGGGTTGTTCAGAGTACAACATTACCGTTGTCGTCAACCAAGAAGATTCTATAAGAGCTTTGAAGGCAGTACATTCCCGGTTCTACCTGTCCAAGACTCCATTGGCTGTGGGCATTATAGGACCTGGATTGATTGGTCGCACACTTTTGAATCAGCTTCGAGACCAGGTATATGGACTGTACAACATTTGTAGTTTTATCCATTTGTTTTTGACCCCAAAAAACCAAAATACTGTCTGACAAAACAAGGAACAGGGGCTTAGAGTTGCGGGTTCACCCGTAACACTTAACAGAATCTCTGCTTTTACCCAGCAGAGATTCTGACCAATGTCATTAAACATGTTGTATTCCTTTGATTGTTATCAATCTCTAGTGAAAAATAAAGGTTCAAGTAAGAAGAAGCTGAAGAGACTTCTAGATGAAATCTAAACTCTTCTGTTCTGGCATTCTGCAGTCGGCAACATTGAAGGAGGAGTTCAATATCGATCTGCGTATCATGGGAATTTTGGGATCCAAGACCATGGTTTTAGATGAATCGTAAGTTTCCTGAGCATTTCCGACCACCACACACACACACGTAGGACCTTAATTAATCGTCAGCTTTGGTGTCGGTGCTTTAAACTGCTGGATAGTTTTTCAACTCATGCTGATATCAGAGTGAGCGTGCAGGCGATTGGATTTGCAAGATTGGCAATCGATATATGATGAAAGGGGAGTACCCACAGATTTGAGCAAGTTTACGTCACACTTACATCAAAATCACTTCGTACCGAATAAGGTCATTGTGGACTGCACGGCCGACGCAGTTATCGCCGAGCACTATCTTGAGTGGTTGAAGAAGGGAATTCACATCATCACTCCTAATAAGAAGGCCAACTCCGGCCCTCTTGACCAGGTACCATGTTGGAGAGTAGCAATTGGCTGCACATCACATTTCGCAGTAGTGGTACGAAACGTATTGTGCACTGCCTTCTTCATGTTACTTTCGAAGAAGTTTTCTTTTCAAAGTATACTAACTTCTCAACTTTTACCTTGCAAATCAGTATCTCGCCGTAAAGCAGATGCAGCGACAATCTTACACGCATTATTTCTACGAAGCAACTGTAGGCGCCGGGCTACCCATCATGAGCACTTTGCGAGGACTCCTTGAAACAGGTGACAAGATTCATGAAGTACAAGGAATTTTCAGGTACAAGTTTATCTCTGTGAATACATTTTAGGTTTTTTTTTTCATTGCAGAGTAGAAATTACATTGAGGGATTGTTCTCAATTAGCTTCTTAACTGTGTTCAGGCTAAACCATATCTTCGTTATCAATGTATCTCGTGTGCATGCAGTGGGACTTTGAGTTATATATTCAACAATCTTGTCGGGGACCGAACATTTAGCGACGTAGTGAAAGAAGCAAAAGCAGAAGGTTTCACCGAACCTGATCCAAGAGATGATCTTTCCGGAATGGACGTTGGGAGGAAGGTAACCTTCTTGAAAAATCAGAGTGCAGTAATTTTTTGTCAAAATTTTGAGTGCAGCATCTTGATACTGTTGTGTTGCTACTCAGGTTGTTATTCTTGCTCGGGAAGCCGGTTTGAAGCTGTCATTAGATGACGTCCGCATTACGAGTCTTGTGCCACGAGAGTTGCAGGTATGCCAATATTTGTTCAATCAAGTTGATCTTGCAACGAAGAAGCGAATTGTCTTAAGATCATGGAGTACTTAGGGCTACAAGTTTCAGATTAGGTTACATGACAGATCGATGCCTATTGATGCTTTTCCATTTATTTTTCAAATGACTCTGTGCTCGAGAATCATCGCCTACGGAGGAATAACATTTCGACAATAGTATTTACGCATTCAGAGGAGGTTTACGTCATTTCTTTTCTTGTTAAAGAAATGACGCTGTCCGCTAAGCAGTAGAATTTTTGTTTGTATACATGGTTGCAGGACCCAAACTTGTCTGTAGACGAATTCATGAGGAAACTTCCTGAGTTTGATCATGAAATAACTGCGAAAAGAGAGGCGGCAGAGGCAAACGGCAAGGTAACTTAATCTTCACCTTCTCTTATTTCTGTTTGGTGCTACGGCGGAATCTGTATTCAAAATATCTTATTCGATGAGATTTCAAAAGCGGTCAGTCAGTCTGTGAAGGTAAGATGCACACTACTCTAGTGTTTGGCCTGAGCCTGCAACCTGAGCTGGAATCATACCGATCTGTTCGAGAATACTCCCGTGTCGTGTGTGCAGGTGTTGCGGTTTGTGGGAGTTGTTGACGTGCTAAAGAACAAGGGAGCTGTTGATCTTATAGAAGTCGAGAAGTCAGATGCGTTCGCGCAGTTGTCTGGCAGTGACAACATCATTTCGTTCAAGACCGCTAGGTACCAGCAGAATAAGTTGATCGTAAGAGGACCTGGTGCTGGTGCCGAAGTCACGGCAGGAGGAGTTTTTAGCGATCTCTTGAGGTTGTCTTCCTATTTGGGAGCTCCATCATAGGAAGACTAGTACGGATTCTAGAGAAAATTGGATGAGTCCTGGAGAAACTAGAAATGCCTTACATTCTTCATGTGCAGTTAGCGAGAGGTCTAAAAAGGACGAGGAGCTTTAGTAATTGCAATTGCTTTTACTTTTTGTCCCGTGATGTTCTGCAGCGAATCTTAGGCTTTTCGCGGTTAGAGATAAAACTGGGGCTTCATGCGATCCTTGAGAAATTTTGTCAGTGAAGTGCTCACCCAATGCAACGTCCAGATGAGAAACAAATAAATATTGAGAGCCTGGAAACTTCAGAATGTTTCTTCGCTCCTTTTAACGGAAGCTAGGAAGTTGGTGAGAGAAGGTTCGCCTTTAGAAGCACTCACATATGCAAAGTCCACTTTGTTCCATTTTCGGATTCTGGACCTGGATGTCAAAATTTAAAATTTGCTGCAGTTTCACATTGATGTCATGTTTCCATGTTCGTGAACAAAGAATCGACTGTTGGACCACGTCTTTGTGTTTGGCAATCCTTGCATCACACCGATGTTGAGTACCGGCGGGACATTTCCCACGGTCAGGAAAGAGCATCACACACAATTGAAGGTGAAGATGCGTGCTATCTCCTTCACCCTCCCGCTACGAGTGTAAGACACGAAATTCCGCATGGACTACGAGAGTCAGCGGCATCAACATTGGCCTGAAGATTGTTTGAATTCAAATGAATGTCAATTTGTAGAGTTCATGCGAATGTTGAAGGGAATATACAAGAAGCCTGAAAGGCAGTACATGTGTTCTGAATCGTATGAGTTTCCCTGTAGTTTCCCTGAGCTTTGACCGATAGGTAAAACAGAGGCCGACAAACACGAAGATGCTAAGGACGAGTGGTGCCAAAAACAAAGCAGTCTACACCCGAGGACGAGATTGTCCTTGGCTCAACAAGCAATTCTGTTTGGATTCTAAGAACAATGTCACCCATTAAGCGATTTTATCCACAATTTCTCCCTGAAAAGAACGAATGTCAAATTAGTAATTCAATTGGTCCTAGCATGGAGCTAACACCGAATGCGGAGAATTGACTCTCGAGGGACAGGAAAGTGGATTCTAGGAGGGTTGAGGATAATTCAATGAGTTTCGGAAGCAGCATTCAACCAGTGATGGATCAGTGCGCGCACACTGGCCACCGTAGGATTGTTAAGACGCCGTGGGATAGAGCTTTAGACGCAAGAAGAATCTTCTTGCTCGCTTTCGTAAGGCTTCCTCCTGATCTCGAACAATCGTAGAGCATCTATATCGCCGAGCCCAGCTTCGGCTTGCCAGAGCAGACTCAGAAATCATGGCTGGGAACAAAACTACTGCGTTGTCTCTGGGTATCTTGGGACCCGGCTTAATAGGCGCCACGCTCCTGGATCAGCTGCGAGACCAGGTCATGAATCTCTGTCATGGAGCATTTCTGATTATAATGACCTTTCGTAGATTATTTGCTTTTATTCAGCCTTAGCTGTACGTGTACTTGAGTTCCCGTGGTTTACTGTGAAGTTGCGATGATGAATTGAGTTAATTTTGTGCATCTCTGAGCCAATCGAGAAGAGAATTGGATGGTAGGGTTCTGTTCCCCTTGTGACAGAGTTAACCAGAAATCACTAACTACCGAAAGTTGTAGCTCTATTCTGCAATATTGATTCTACATCAATATTGCAGGGAACATTAGTCCTGCAGCAAGATAACGGTTATTGGTAGTAGTATAACATCGGAATTCACATTCGCAGGCACCGAATCTGAAAGAGCACTTCAGAATTGATTTACGGGTGGTAGGAATCGCGAGTTCTAAGATTATGTTTCTGGATGAATCGTAAGTATTTTGGATGAAGCCTTGATTCATGGTATTTCAATATCCAGTGCATGAGTTGATCTTGGCTCGTCTTTGATGTCAATTCTGTTTGGTATAGCTTGTCATCTCAATGCCTAATACTTTACCAGCACTTGAACACTCAACCCACGCTCGTTCTGGGAATAACAATGACTCACCCAATGTCAATTCAGGGCGGTAGATCTTTCAAAATGGAGATTAGAATATAACGATAGAGGAACCGAGACAGATCTACGCAGCTTCATATCACACCTTCAACAAGATCACTTCGGGCCAAATAAAGCTATCGTGGACTGCACTGCTAGTGCTGATGTAGCCGAGCACTATCTCGAGTGGCTGAAGTTGGGGATTCACATTATCACTCCGAATAAGCGAGCTAACTCTGGTCCTCTTGAAAAGGTAACTTGGTACTACGGGCAAAGATCATTATCCTATGATTAAAACATTTCAAGTTTTGAATCGATTTGCACATGGCAAGAAAGTAGGACAAGGAGAGTGGGATATCCGGGGGTAAACATACCACTTCATATGGAGCGAGTAGAAGACCCGATGCTTATTTATTAGAGTTCATGTGATCACGATTCAACGCAGTGATGTGGACCACTGGACTTAACCACTGGACTTAACGAGGTCTGGCCCTAAGCAGCCATTTCTTGGAGAAAGCTGCCCTTTAAGGATTGCTCTTTCCGAAGTCTGTTTTGCTTGGCTTTTCAGCTTGTCATACACTGATATGGAGATGATTGTAAAGTTCACTTCTTCGGTTCGGCTAACTGCGTGAGTGGATGTACTTCAATATCAGTATCTTTCAGTGAGGGACATCCAGCGCCAATCCTGTACACATTACTTTTACGAAGCAACTGTTGGAGCTGGTCTCCCTATTATAAGCACTTTGCGCAGCTTGATTGAAACTGGTGATCAAATCCAAGAGGTGCAGGGAATCTTCAGGTGTCTACTATCTTTCCGACTGCACCCTTACTAAAAAAGTTTGACGTTTGAACAAAGATCTGGCTTTCGAATTTATTCTCAATTATTCACCATTTTGGCACTTGCAGTGGGACCTTGAGCTATATCTTCAACAACCTTACTGGCGACCGAACGTTTAGTGACGTAGTAAAGGAGGCAAAAGCAAAAGGCTACACGGAACCTGATCCAAGGGATGATCTTTCTGGAACTGATGTTGCTCGAAAGGTATTTGCATAGGCTTTGGCTTTGTCCGACCATGATTTTCTATTTGGTGTGTTCGGTGTATGTAAGTAACCGCAAAAGTTTTTCGTGGGTTCTCTCAAGTAGGTCGTCATTCTTGCTCGAGAAGCGGGGTTGAAGTTGGAGTTGCATGACATTCCTGTACACAGTCTCGTGCCACAGGAACTGCAGGTATCCGATTTCTTGTTCTTTAAGATACACACTGGGGATTTCTTCCCTTGTGCATGAATGTCAAATGCTTCACTTTGCCCATGTGTCGTCATCACAGAACTGAACAAGTTTTCTGTACAAGTCAACTATTTCAGTACCCTACGATCCAAATCTACTCATGTATACCCATTGTTGATATGTCAGTGCTGTGTTTACAGCTGTTTTTGATGCATTATGATCAACAACCAGCTGCATGTCTTCTGACATGAACAAGTGGGATCATGTCAGGACCCAAAGCTGTCTGTTGAGGACTTCATGAAAAGGCTTCCTGACTTTGATGAAGCACTTAGTTCACGGAGAAAAGAGGCAGAATCATCTGACGAGGTATCACTGCAACATCACTATGCTTTGAATGAATACTTAAGACGACTGTGTGTTTGATAGATAGTTCTGAATTTTTCAATTCCACGTCAACGTTTCATATACAGATTCTTTTTTGTGCTGCTGCATGGAATGTGTAGGAGTCTTGCCTTTCAATCTCTTCGGTTTTTGGTATAGCGATCTTACATAACGAACTTCACCAGAGCAATTGTGTAATTCCTGTAGCATAGACATTTGCGAAATTTGGCTTTCATTAGGTTGAACGTTTTGTCTTCACCCAGTTTTCGCTCCAATCTCGGCTGTTACCTGTTTCAGGATCAGCCCCTCTCAGTTTGTTCGATGTAACCCCATGTACCTCCTTGGTGGTGTGCAGGTGTTACGCTATGTGGGAGTAGTCGATGTCCTAAACAACCGTGGTTCTGTTGAGCTTAAAAGAATTCCCAAGTCTGATGCTTTTGCGCAGCTCAATGGAAGCGACAATATCATCGCCTTCAAAACCGCACGGTACAATGAAAACCGTTTGATAGTAAGAGGACCTGGTGCTGGTGCAGCTGTTACAGCAGGAGGAGTTTTTAGTGATATTTTGAAGCTGACTTCTAACTTGGGGGCTCCATCATAGGTAACAGATAGTCCAAGTTCAGAAGAAGTGTTCATGTTATCAACAGCGTCCGAACAGGATTGTGCAGTGGTAAGAGTTCAGTTTGTACTCACCTAATAGTTCGTACTTAGCCACCAAAGTTAAGGATTACCGCTCGTATAGAGTCTCCCCACGATACCCGACAATTTTTGTAAGCAACAAGGATCCATTCTTCAACTCCATTCTGAGATGAGCTCTAGTGAAATCTGAGTACGGTACCAGTTTAGTCACGATACTTTGGTCCTGAGATTGCTTCGTGAAAGGTGCTGTTATCATATCAGAAAGGGCAACGTTGCAACCGTGAGTAAATTCGTTCACTTCAATTTGGATTATGCAGCATGTGTGACGATTTCAACTCTCACATTGAAAAGCATAACGTTGTCCAGACGTGATGGTATAGTTATGTCTTTGTTCCCTTGCTTATTAGCTTGTACCACCTTCGGTATGCTCTTAGATATCACCTACCACATCAGTCACGAGACGTCATTAAGAAATGATTCAGATCAAAGACTGATTCGTCAAAGATTGACTCAATATTCAACGTTCGTGAACACAACGCTGCAATCGACTTCGACATATAATTTTCTTTCTCCAAGCCCTCAGGTCATTGGCTCTCGGTCTGTTATAGGTCAGACAAGATCATGACTTGCAAGTTTTTATTGTGCATCTGACCCCAGTGATCACCTCAACATCTAATACTGTTATTGCACCGCTGAATTGTGTAATGGATCACATCAAAACGTTGTCTGGTTGTTGTTGTTTACACTGCGAGGGTTTTCATGGCATAGGATGCGAAGTGCAACCGATTCTCAAATACGAGGTTGATGAAGATGTATGGTACATTGCAGTAGAATTTTTTAAATATAAATATACATAGTTTTTTTAATACAACTAGTGAGATTTTTGCTTTACTTAGTTCATCCATATTCATGGTAATTATGTGAATGTGATGCATAAGATTGTTATATGATTTAATGCTCATTTTAGTTTAGCTTGCAAAGGATTGTTACCATGATGAAAATCTAGACATGGTGTTCTTCGCGATGATTAATGTTGAAACAAGCACATGTCATGGAGAAAGAAGTGGTGATAAACCTTGTAGTGGACTAAGGTTAGGAAAACTTATGTTTAGTTTGCGAGTAACATGTTAAGGTTGCAAATGTTAGTGTATCATACTTTTAGATGGGAGGTGGGTGAATTGAAAAAAGCTAAGGATTTCCTAAACTTTGAAAGTCTATGTATAATGCATGTAAAATTAGAAATGTTTTTCCAAAAAAGGCAAAAGAATCTATAGTTATTGTACATGACTAGTGTACCACATTCTTTAGCCCATCATGTAATTTATTTTAGTAGACCGTGTTTTAAATGTCGTACAAAATAATCATGATAGCTTTAAAAAAGTGAAAGAATATTTTTTCTCAAGTTTTATGAATCCTATTGAAGATAACGTGCTGCCATTGCTATTTTTAACAGCGCCAGCTTTACAATATGAGAATATATTTCTTTGGAAGCTTGTCGACTGTTTGATCTAAATTGCTTAGATAAAATTAGACGCAATAATACATATGTTCCACTATGATACTATTATAGTCTAACCTTTGGTTATTATCATACTTGTACTGCTTTATGGGATCTTCTTATATTTTTGCTTTTCACGTTACTCCCTCAACTGAACAAAATCATTTTTCATCTTTCAAGAAGATACGTGAAACTAGAAAATAATTTTCTTCGTGCTTGAGAATATCTCTCTGCTTGCATATCTATCCAATTTAAGGAGTTAAAAGTATGAATTTGAAGAGTTTTCCAAGCCCAAGGATTAGAGGATGTATATATACACATTTCTTGACTAATTTTTTTTTCTATAAAAATACATACTTACTAGATTGCTGATAAATAGAGTTCAAATTTTTTTGTTGGGAAAACGACATCAAAGAGCCGCAAAAAGATGAGACAATATGGTATAGAAGGGGTAGTTTCAATGTAGATATCTTACCTCATGTAAGAAATCTAAGTTATAAAGAACACAATATGAATATTTTGTGACAAATTTTTTTCTCCTTTTTCTTTAACCATCTTCTCTGTATTCTAAAGGGCTGAAATCAGTCAAGGAATGAACAAGAATAGAGATTTAAAGTGGAATAAAAAATGCATTATCTATTTTGCTTTACTAAACATGAGATTAGCTAGTTTATTGTCTAAAAAAATATTAACAATTTGATCAAATAAATTCATAACATGGGAAACAATGTGCTGCACAACAGAGAAATCTCTTATGTATTTTAGTAGTATATTGTCTATAGCTTCATATTAGTTCAAATCTGGATTAACACAGAGCTTAACGATCCGAAAAAGATTTTACTTGGAGATTTTGGTTGTTGTATATCCAATAATCTTCAAACCGAAAAAGATTGGCATTCAATTGTTCTATAACTATCATATGTGGATAGAATAATAATTACAGGTGCAAATTACTCGTGATATATCAAGTTTAAACTTGTTTTAATTGCAACTAAACACAGATACTAACATCTCATCCATATTGCAAGAGTCAATATGAAGTCTTGCACTAAATTTTTAATTTTTGCACAAAACATCTAAGTTCTAGCTCCTATTCCTCTATGCTAAAAACATACTTCTCTAGTAAGAGGCAATCATTATGACGAAAGTAAGAGTAACAAAAGTAATGTTCAATGATCAATGAAACTGTGTGCCACACTATCAACCAATAAGAAAAAAATACATAGAGTGTTCACCTAGAGTCCAAGGGAGAACATATGGAATAGCCATATACATGAGAAGCTGTTACCAAAAATATAAATTGAAAATCGGTTTAAATGCATATGACTCCCATGCTACATCCGAATTGTTCATAAAGGCAAGAGATTTATGCTGCATAATCCACTATGAGATATATTCTGATGTGAAATCTCTCATCATGTTTCAACAATCCAAACATCACTTTTGTGCACATGAATCTTATTGTTTGCTATGTAGGAGTCATTGACTTACTAATCATGTGCCCCTATAAAAGATAACATAACTGAGGTGGAACTAACACAAAAAGCATCAAACACATTGGGTTATCAATTAAAATGTAATTCCACTTATTTTTAAATAACAAAAATGTGTGAAAAGTGATTACTTTAATTCAGAAATTATATTAAAATAGAGCAAATTAAATACTCGGACTGTCTATACTACCGTAATCAAAATTTTTGTTGAAATTTTTTTGAATTGATTCGTATTCATTCATAGCAAAACCACTGGTATGAACATTCATGATTGGAGACATGATAAATTTGTAGTATATGCACAAGAAGTGAAAGAATAAACCCTGAATTTTATTTTCACCCTCAAAGTATTAATAACTCATCCGATCACGACAACCCATGAAACTGAAGCTTCGCGGTCCCCAATTCGCCGAATGCAGACAGCGCAGGCCAGGATTCTGATCATCGGTGCTATGATCCCAAGTCGGAGAATCCTGGTCCTGCCGATGAATCCCACTGCATGAATTCCCAATTCTGAATATCAGGAGGCACTTTCGAGACAGTGACACTGAGCAGTCAGCTGTCCGCCATTCTCCCTCGTTCCATAGGGATGAGGGGAGTTTCCACTCTCCAGGGGCACATGGAAGTGACCCCATTCGGCCATGGAGATTTGCAAGATCGTGTATGAATCATACACGATCGTGGAATATCATCATCCATGTTCCTCGTTAATGCATGCAAGCGAGCAACACCGTCCGATCATAGTTACATCTACGATGACATTCTGAACACCGACACATGTAGGGCCAGTAGTTGCTGAAATTAGAAGAGTTTAGTTATCTTTTTAGAATCTTCCGATAGCCTCCAGATTCACATCACACATTCAGATTCGTGCAAAATATTAGTCATCTTTGCAAACGTGATCTTATGGCATCTTATATGGCACTCAAGTTTAGTGTGTTACCATATAACAAACGAAGGCAATGCTTGTATACCATCGAAACAATCTTCTGCCGTGGTATGAAGCAATGTTCCGTTGTTTTGATTTCTGGCTTGTGTTGTAGACGTTAAAGACTATTTATCTTATTCTTAACTCACATTTTGGTTTCACAATTGACTCTTCTTCTGTCAGCCGATACGATTGCCGTTCACCTTTACCTTCTCATTCACTAGATCTATCAAGCTCCTTTTTTCTCTCTCTCTCTCTTTTTTTTTTTTTTCGTTCATGATCTTTTGAATCTCATGTCCATGTTTCCTCTTGTCACTCTGTATGCACATGAGCATGGAAACAAGTAGTCACTGCGCATATGCATAAGTTTGTATGGACCGTAGCATGCAATGCTTTTACTGCTGCTCTTATCTCTGGAGTGGTTTCCTATGTGCGCACTAATTAACAGTATTTCAAGATAGGACACACACGTATAATTCTTCACTTAAATCCTTTCGCTTGTAGCAGCTCCTCTATACGACTGTGGCATATCCGTCTGCTTGCTATGATTTTCTGGCCATTGAAGGGGTAGGTGTTTATGGGAACTCTTTCGACTGCCATTGCTATGGGGTCTAACGGATTGGCCCTCTTCTCTTGTTGAGGCATTGACCACAGCCACATCCAACGGCGTCTCGGTACGAATTGGATGTTATTATGACGGCAGTCTTTGGTCTGAGACGACTTCACTCCAATACTGTACTGATCTATTCCTTTTGGTGGCAGTGTGGTGACTACGGCCATTGAAGAGAAGGATTGAAGCCTCCTCCATCCGTCGAATCGCAAGCTCGATGTGAATCGGATCAGCCTCACAAGAACGACAACAACTTGTGTGACAAGTCAGAGCATTAGCAGCACGGGCTCCCGCTCCCGCTCCCTTCCACACTTGCAATCGATGACCTTGACCGTGGCCTACGCGCTTGCATCAGGCTGTGAAAAGCGTTCTGGCTTCCCACAACGAGTGCACTGCTTGTGACAATCGTACAGCCTTGTATCAAACCTCTGATCAGAAGAGAATTGAGCCTCTTGAAATCCCAGCCGTCGTCATTGGAGTGGAATGACAATCACAATAGGAAGGGGACGGCTCTGAGCTTCGATCGGAATCTCAACAGACGAGCATATCTTGTCCCGAAACTAGTAGCGGACCTACCGACTTCCCGGAGTGAGCAATGGGCCAGGAGAAACATTCTCCTCCGCTCTGCTGGGGCCTTGTTTTCATGCGCTGACCAACCACTTGGCTGTACGGCATCTGTTAGCGAGAACAGCAGCTTGAAAGCGGGAAGCTCGAAGCAGGGAAGCTCGAATTCCAGTACTTTTGTAGGACTGTGGGTAGCCCATGCGAGGAAGTCCGCGCAACTGGCAGGCCTCGGGCCCACGCTGAACTCGTTCTGTCTCAACCTATGAACCGTTTTAGGTGAAAGGGATATTTTTCGGACCCAAGCTTGCAAGCTTGAAGCAGTGAATGATGTCATGTATCTTGAGATAATTCGTTTTCACTGAACAATGGTCTTATTTTCGGTTCGGCCGTCCTAGCTTGCACCTTTGGGTCGGGAGGTTTGTTCCACGTGGTGACGGGATTCAATCGCCAATTTTCCTCATGGCCATCTGCAACCTCAAGCACATAATAAGGGGCCTGGGTGCAGGTTATTGACCTCAATCTACGACGTCCAGAATGGTTGGCTGCACTCCAATCTGCACATTTTCTTCGAGTGCAGCTGAGGGGTTAAGCTAGTTCACAATCTCAGGGTCACTGCGGTTGGCGTCTTGAGTTAAGAACTTGTCTTCGACCTTCGATGTTTCTCTTGTTTCAGACTCGTGACGATCATCAGAGGACCTTCATGGGCACGGATTGATTGTCTACAAGGCATACTCAAACTGTGCTGATGATGACATTCTGGACAAACGAGTAATTAAATTTCCAAACATGACAACTGATATCTCAACCGAAGTTGCTATGTACTGATAGCGGGATCAGATCATTGTCTGGGATTCGCTCTATACGCTGGACGCCATGAACACTCAACATATGGTGGGTTCTGGTGTATCATTACTCTCTGAGTCCTTCCTTCATGTATACTTATGAACTCAGATCAGACAACATCATTTGGAAAAAATGGTCGACTCGAGAATTTAGCCTTCAGTATGTGACAGTTATATGTGTGAGAATCCACGTTGCAACTCGTCGAACATGACGAGATGAGCAGGAAGTTGTGCTCTTTTCCGAATTAAGAAGCAGGAGTCCATCTGCAGAGGGAAGGCTGTTGTTGTCAGTGGAATTGTGTGAGAGCGCTTTGAGCTGCTGACAAGGATCTCAGAGATTCTGAAACCTTCAGACAGTTCTCAGACATTGGATCTCTGTGTTTTTAGAATCTCTCGTATGAACATCTTTGCCTGCACTCTTACAGAGCTTGAATTCTATCTTAATACTGTCAGCAGATCCCGTCTCCAACCAAGGATCATGACGAGGAACGTGCAGATCAGTTGCATGCAACGAGTTCTCCTCGGGGATTATACTCGGAAGAGAAGATGATTGTCTACAAGGAGGTGGACCCAGCCATCAGAGGGATCTCAATGGACTGGCCTGCATCATTAGGCCCTTGCCTCGGCAAGAAGCAAGTCAAGGGTTTAGGATGGAAGGCAACTCCTTTCATATTCGGTATGTAAGGTCCCCGAGGAAATCCAATCATTGCCTTCCCGACGAGATTGTCGTTTACGAGACGCCTCATTTCAAAGTTTTGTTTCAGAGTCACTCAGCATTGGTTTATACCAATAGGAATGATCTTGCACTAGACCTGACAAGAATTTACGTCATTGTGCTTGAAGCACTTGAATCACTTGAATCACTCCTTGGGTGGATTTCAAGTTCATGAATTCAGTACGAAGTCGTTGATTTGTTTACGTTATTCCTAGATACGTGCAGCACAGAAATGCATAACTAATGCTAATTTAGATACAAACAGCATCGAATGGCCGATGACGATGTGTTCTGTGCGATCTTCGTTGTATGACAGTTGCCGAATTCGGAGAGAGGCTCGGAGCATACGGGCTCCAGATTAACTTGATCACCTACCTACTCTTCCAGATGAACATGGGAACAGCCCAAGCAGCCAATCTAGTGACTAATTTCTTCGGAGCAACTTGCATGGCTCCACTGGCTGGAGCAATTTTGGCCGACGCATATGTCGGCAGATATTTGATAACTGCGTTCGGATCCATCATCTACTTGGTGGTAAGCAGCAATAAAATCAAGCCCTTTGCAAAGAGAGAGAGAGAGAGCAGGGCAATATGAAGAGGATGTATGTATGAAGTCATCTCAAGTAATATGAAGAAGCTCGTCTAACAGAGTGACCGATGATGAAATTTAGCCAGCTGCATGCGTACACTGTCAGACTGAAAAGGCCACGTGCCAGTCGAGTCCATTCAGAAACTGGCTGCCACAAGTGTCCCACACTGTCAGAATGAAAAGGCCACGTGCCAGTCGAGTCCATTCAGAAACTGGCTGCAACAAGTGTCCCGTCCGGTCGGCACTTGAGAACCTTGAGAGTTTGGCATGCAGGGGCTGCTGGTGTTGACAATCGCGGCGATCGATCCGAACCTGCGGCCTCAGGCCTGTACGAAAGAGCAGTGGTTCATGGGCCAGTGCCAGAAGCCGAGCGCGGTGCACATGGCAGTGCTCTACCTGTCGCTACTGATCCAGTGCATCGGATCGGGAGGAATCAGGCCGTGCACGGCGCCATTCGGAGCCGAGCAGTTCGAGAGCTCGAGCGCGAGGCACAAGACGCAGCTGCGCCACTTCTTCAACTGGTACTATCTCACCATCGCCTTCTCCATTCTGCTCTCGTTCACGCTCGTGGTTTACATCGAGACCAGCCTCGGGTTCGGCTACGGCTTCGGCTTCTGCGCTCTGGTCATGGGCCTGGGCGCGCTCGTCTTCGTCGCCGGCACGCCGCTCTACAAGATCCTGCCGCCGGCCGGCAGCCCCATCACCAGCCTCGTCCAGGTCACCGCGGCCTGCTGCCGCAAGAGGCGCCTCCCGCTGCCCGACGCCTCGGACTTGTACGACGGCGCGCCCGGCAAAGAAGGCCCCGAGACCATCCTCCACACGGACAATTTCAGGTGCGCCCTTCTGCCTCGGAGTCTTGGATTTCCGTGCGTCCGTCCGTCCCCTCACTCCTCTTTCCCTGACAGCCTGTACTAGACTCTCTAGAGCCGGCGGACGGTTAATTAACGGCCCGGCGCTTCCCAGATATACGAAACATGCGCAACTGCCGCCTCGGATTATCGCGTAAAATACATGCCGGCGGACTGGCCGTACGCTAATGCAGGCTGTTGCCGGTGGCCGGTTGCGGTGGCCAGGTTCCTGGACAGAGCGGCGGCGATCGACGACAGGGATGCGGCGGATATGGCGGCGCGGGGGCGGTACGACGCCTGGAGGGTGTGCACGGTGCACCAGGTGGAGGAGCTGAAGGTGCTGATGCGGATGGTGCCCGTGTGGGCGTGCGCCGTGGTCATGGCCACGGTTCTGGTGCAGCAGGGAACCTTCAGCGTCGTGCAGGCCATCAGCATGGACCGGCGGGTGCGGGTCGGCGGCCTGAGCCTGGAGGTCCCGCCGGCCAGCATGGCCGCCGTGTCCATGCTGGCGCTGGTGGCCTTCCTGCCGGCGTACGACCTCTGGCTCATCCCCGTGCTGGCCCGGTACACGGGCCACCCCAAGGGCCTGTCGTATCTGCAGAGGATCGGGGCCGGGCTCGTCCTGAGCGTGCTCAGCATGATGAGCGCGGCCCTGATCGAGACGAAGCGCCGCGACCACGCCCACCGCTCCAACCACGTCGACCTGCAGCCCGGCGAGTTCCTGCGCTTCAGCGCGTTCTGGCTCGTGCCGCAGTTCGTCCTCATCGGGCTGGCCGACGGGCTCATGATAGTGGGCCAGCTGGAGTTCTTCTACGACGAGGCCCCGGCCAGCGTCCGCTCCATGAGCAACGCCTTTCTGGGCGCCGCCCTCGGCGTGGGCAGCTTCCTCAGCTCGGCCTTCGTGAGCATCACCCAGTCGGCCACCGCGTCCCGCCACAACCGCGGCTGGCTGCAAGACAACATCAACCGCGGTCACCTCGACCGCTTCTACTGGTTCCTCACCATTTTCAGCGGTCTCAACGTCCTCGTCTTTCTCGCAGTTTCGCACTGGTACGTCTACAAGACTCCGGCTCCAGACCCGCCCCACGACTTCCACAAGCCCCAGACCCGGAGTTTCTGATCGCCGCCGGCCCTGATCTGATTCTTCCCCACAGCCCCGGGCCGTCTGCATGTTGGCGTTGCATTTCTGACCCTGGATCCATGAATCCAGTTAATTTCTAGGATCACGTATTCGAACTTTTCAATGTCGAAACTTGTATTTTATATGCATGTGAGCGGGCGGGGTGCTTGCTGAACTTTCAGAATCTAGTCACTCAGAGTATCTAGCATTCTCCTAATTGTTCTAGGCGACCAAATCGGAAACGGTCAACGAACCTTGCAAACGACTTGGCAAATTTTGTTTTACGTGTAGAACGTATGGCTTCGCGCGCGTTTCCTTGTTTTCGATGTGACCCATACGAGTACCAGGTCATCATAAATCATGTTCTGTCGCAGAAGTGAAGTGTCTCAGACTTTGGTTTGAAGATTCCGCGAGCTAAGGTAGGCAAATCAGTCAGTCAGGCAGGCAGGCTTACATGCCAGCAAGCAATATCCACGTGTACTTGAGGTCTCTACTGGTGCTCCTTCTCTTATCGTGCCTTCCTTTCCTGTCTGCCAGAAAAAGAAGTGCTGGAAACTAATGCCATGGATTGCATAGCAACTTGGCACGTTATAGAATATGACCTTCGTGTTATACGAGTGTCTAACGTGTTGGGGTTCTTGTAGTCTCGTTTTATACTTCAGACGTCTCAACATCATTGAATCTGTCCTGAACATTATTGACCGAGAGGAGGGAGAGTAGGGACCACATTTTAAGTTAACTGGTTCGCTTATTGACAATTCTGGATAATATAAGTTTCAAGGTGTAAGTTTGCTCCTTCCATGCCCCAACATTAATTATGCATCTCTATGTAAAAGAACTCTCCGAATAACTTGGTGTTTACATCCTCACTCAGCCCTCGATTTCTCCCCTCTCCATCTTCTTTAACATCTTTGTTTCAACCATTATTTTGCCCTATGAGTTTTTCCATTTGATCATTATGTGGTCTCTCCTCACTGATCTTCGTCTTTCCTGGCACAGGCATCTCAGAAATTTCTCTATGATAAACAGGCAAGTTCACTTTTTTTTTCTTTCTTGCCATTGGTAATAATTTATTCTAAGTTAGCTTTGTTTGGTGTACTTTGCCTTCCTGATGAATTTGGTTGAGTTTTATGTCTTAACATTTTAATTATATTGTGAACGTTTTTCTGTGACTAGTGATTTTTCTAATAAAATGTTCATATTTAATAACTTATTAACCCAGTTAACATTAGATTGAAGTCAGAGGTACGAATCACGTGATATCTTCAATATTCCTTATTCCATTGAAAAAACATAAAGATGTGATTGATATATATATATATATATATATATATATATATCCGCTTCACTTTACTTCATCTTTCTGTTTCCAGACACAAACAAATGCCAGTTACGATCGAGTGTCCCCTCAAGTTGGTCGTTGTCTCACTTGCTTCCTTAGGAGTGCTGATACGATTCTTCAAAGACACCAAACATGATTCATGTTTCTTTGTCATTTTCAAGAATATGTTGTGATAGGCCATATCAATAAAGTCTTAACTGAATAAATTTTATCTTGTTGATAACGTAAAATTGAACTCCCCATTCTGCTGATTGTCCGCAGTGGAATACATTGGATGGAGTTGAAGTATAGATGTCATGTTCTTCTCTCTTCTAGTAAGAGCAGAGGTCGCAAATCTTTTGTGAGAGAGGACTGCGTACCATATTACCCATCAAAGTTGACTAGATCCAATACGTGTGCTACCAAAATCCAAACGCTTCATGGGATAAAAAAATTCAATCACATGCACGCACGCACATATGTGATTTCCTGAACGGCAAGATGTGCACTCTTTAAATCGCTTCCCAAGGGAACATACACCTCTCGCTAGTGGATGTTCAATATGTCCGAGACGACGTGAGTTGAAATGTTCATCTCAACTGTTAACTTGAGTTGGATCCCAACAAAATGACCTTCAAAAGCTTGCCGTGCCAAGTCACAGGTTAGTGGCCATCATATTGCAGTACCGAGATGTCAATTAGCTTACCACAGCTCGATGATCAAATAGCTGATGAGTGACGAACTTTAACAAATGGTCAAGTTAGTGTATTCTTCAGTTGTATCAAACACAATCGATGTGACTGGTGGTGTGGAGGATGTGCTCGTAGACCTCGACAACGCATTTCGAACCTAATACTCAGCAATTGCATCTGCTTGGTTAACAATGTGAAGGATTATCGAATGGCACTGCCAATCGTGACAAGAGTTGCTTCAGTAGATGGCACCAAGGGCAAAGAACAAGTATACCAATGCTTTCGACGTTGAAAGAAAGGCCAGGTCTATTATTTCTTTAGATAGATTTAGACCCTGGGTATTGGAGCATAGTCATGTCTAGACTCTTCTGGCGTAATTTTCATCCATAACGTGTTGTACTTCGCATGGTCAAGCACGGCCAGTGAGCACCATTAAGCCTTATTTCATGCTAAGGAAAGTGACCATGGCTCATTTGCCTTCTTACAACGTTGACACCTATTCAAAGTATTTCCACCGCAATAACTTCAGATTCAGGAATCAGTAGCATGAATTCCACTTATTCAGGTAGCGTGCAGTACGATGTGAGAGACCTATGAGTGCTGATCTTGCAGAAATGCCCATTTGAGTGTGTAACTAAACAGCGCTCGGTCTCGAGTAGAACAGAACTTAATCCAGTCAGTCAGTTTTGAAGTCGCACTAAACAATCTGTACCCTCTCACGGCCAACCATACGGAACTTGTCGTGATCCTCGTCTACGTGATTGATTGGCTTTCTTCAAGAAGTTCGGATGTGAAAGAGGGAACGTGTAACTTCATGAGACGGTACCACATTTTGCGGGTGGCCATTGCTTATACCTCTGCAGGTACTGTACTTCTCTCTTTGGAATTTTAGCCACGTCGAGCTACCATGAAGTCGTTGTGTCGGACGTCTTCAGATTCAATGCCGAGATTTCCGCCGCTACGAAAGTTTGAAGACGTGAAGGAGATTGTGCTTTGACTGTGGTGGTATGCCATTGTCCTAGCACCAGACTTTCATGTACAAGAGCAGGTGCAACAATCCAGTTCGTTCAAACTGTTTCTGAGTTAATCCAGCCTAAGGCTTTCTGAGCTTAGCCGTCCTTCTCGCCAAGCCCAGCACCGGCTGCCACCAGCGTGCCATCGAAGTAAAAAATCATGTACAGATTGCCGATGTTGTCCTGAATCTTCTTCACAGTCTCAGGCTTGAGCTGGGATACGCCTGCATCAAAACAACCCGTAAGCAAACCCAACGCAGCAGCAAAATGCAGCCACAACCCAAGCCGATGAAAGAAAAACATACCACGAGAATGGCGCATGATTGATGCCCGCTCTGCCCGAAGGACCAAACGCCGAGCCTGTTGCCGACCGCCTACCTGCAACAAAGCGCAAGCCGAAAGGCCGTAATCTTCGTAAGCTAAGAACTCGATTCATCCATTACAGTCTTGTGCACAATAAAATCTTCGCTTCGTTTCCAGTAACTCCTCCTTATGATGTGGTCATTAGCCAAAGAGCATATGCTCAGCCAGCTGTTTATCAGTGTAAGTCCTTGAACTTAATTTACAACTCAATGTTATAATTTTAATCAGTACGTTTCCTTATAAAGTCGTTACTAGGTAATTAATGCTGACAGAGGTCTTACAGTCTCGTGTGGCAACCGAGTTCAACGTGGTCTTCAATCTGTTGACCAGTTCCCTTACCTTTTCTAATTTCAAAGCGAGTTATTTTACAGACTACAACACACATTACAGGATACTTCAGCTTTGTTTGTTCAGCATTTCAGCAATAGGAACTCGGTTAGAAAAGAGCAACTTTCAGACTGATGTGTGTAATGAGCTATGGTGAAGTTGCACACTCTTCCACATATCGAAAGTAGTCTGGAGCCACTTGGACCCGGTCTTCGCTTCACAAGCAGCTAGATTACACAATCTCTGAGTCCGCAGAAATGCCCACATGTACTTTTCTCACCCTTTTGTAAAAACCTCGCAAGTTCTTCACGAAATTCTGTTGAATGTTCAGCTCGATATGCATTTAGATCCAGCGTCCTTTCTTTCCAAGAGATAATGGATAAGGATGGTGAGAATGCAGATTCTGCCAGTTTCTGACCGAACCATACTGACTGACATTCTCGTCCATGACTTTCATCGTGTGAATCAAGCTGTGAGCAGCTATCGAATATACCACGGAATATAGCATCTCAAGAAATCTAACGAAACCTTTCAACTGCAGCGTCTGAGCACATAAAGAAAGACGATGGATAAGGTCAGCATACAACATAGGCACGAAATTTTTCACCAGCTTCGGGAATACGCCTCTAGTGCTTAACTTCTCTCTAGGCAGCGAAGAGCTTCAAATTTGATCTAAAGTATGATTCAGCCAAAGTGTGAAGATGTTGAAGACATGACACCACACCTCTGCTCCTGTCTAGACTGAAGTTGATTGCTGCCTGGAAGCAGGTTAAGATTGTGGAAACCTCGGTTCGTTTATGATCGTCGTGATTACTAAAACATCGGAGATCCTGTCAAAAAAAATGCAGTGTCCAAAACATTGCAGGGGCCAACTATGGTAAATTGTAAATAGATGAAGCCCGTGGGACCCAAAGGGTCAAAATCAAAAGGCTGAAAAACACATTGCAAGTCATAAGAAAACTACTATAAGAAAGCTGTGAGCAGTTGACCACAGACAGAAGGTTGCGGGACCAGATTTTGGTTTGGGAACTGGGCCCGTTGATTAGCTTCATCTCCTTTCAACTGCATGCCATGGGACCGTCGATTAGCGTCATCTCCTTCAATTGCATGCCATGCATGCGCTCGAATGGCGTGTTGGCGGAGAACCACAAAGATATGGTGTACATTCTCGTCAACTGCACTGTACTGGATGATCCGATGCACTACCAGCTGCGAATTGCGGTGGCTATTTCCTTTCCAGACCATCCATGCAAATCTGCTGCGCTCCAGGTTACCTCCTCTGATTTCGCATTTCTTTCCTTCGAGATTTCTGAATTGCATTTTACGCTGGAGAATAGAGACTTCCTGACTTTAGGGAAAAACTTTATAAAACAATATTTTCCTTATGCGAACATGATGTCAACATCATGTCATATAATTATAGGGTTTATTCATATATACATTAAAACCTGAAAAGATGAAATATGTTTTTTCACTGTCTGATAACAGATTTTAGAGTAAGTAAACATAATTATTTATAGTCAAATCTTATAATGTATCTTGCAATATTTAACAATCTTGTGATAAATGAAACGGATGAATCTAATCTTGTGATTATGTAAAGTTCTACTCCTACATTCATAATATTTATAGCAGTATTTGAGTTTTTGTATATTATAATTCCTAATACCATCTTAGATATACTTTTCAAATGTATTCACAATCCAAGTCAAAAGTAAACCGAGTAGAAAAAAGTAACATCTCATCGAACCATACAAATAAAATTTTTTTATGAACCAAGTGTTAGATTCAATAATCTCACAACTTTTGCTAAAAAGATTCGAAATATGTACGAAAGATGTAATCCACACAAAAAATCCAAAGACTCTTCGTGGCCGTAGTCTTATCTATAGTTGAAATCTCATCATTCATCTCCATTCATCCATTATACAGCATCATCTAATGCTGTCTGTAAAGCAATAAAAATTTATTAACTAATATATGCTACCCAATAAGCTAAAGCTATGATACATCTTGCTGTTTAGTAATCAAAGATTCTAGAGCACTCATTCACTAACACGTTGAGGTTCAAATTCATGATTACTGCATCGAGGTGTGAAGTCGAGAACCCCTAAAGAGCAGAAGTCACAAACAGAGGCTGCAATCTTTTCAATCCAGTCCATACGCAGATTTAGCATTCAATACGAGCTGTCTAAGTGTTCACAGGTCTTGATTAGAAGAATCTGCAGATAAATAATAATCTAGTTAAGGGGTAAATAAATTTACAATGCATGCTGCTTTTATCAGCATCAGACAAGCATGTCTCCAATA